ATAGTGTATATACATTCTTTAATTACCTTAGGGCCATATGCGTGATCAGGAAGATTCGCTGTACTTTCGGTGTTACGACGGTGAATGCTCCTCCCTCACGCTGACCTAGGCCCCATCCGGATTCAAACTCCGCTTCTCTCCTGTCTGGCACCTCATGCAATCCCTCCATTGTGAGGTCGCTACGCTTGGTGTCCCCTCTACATATACCGTTGGAAGTAATGGCAGGTAGCTAGCAAAAGGCAAAATCAATTTCAGATTAGGATAAAATGTAGATATTACTCTAAGCCCTAACACTCTCTCTCTCTCTCTCTCTCTCTCTCTCTCTCTCTCTCTCTCTCTGTGTATGTATGTATAAATCGTCCAACAGAGCCGTTTCGTCGGAGTTCCACTCTTCTCCCTCTCGCCTACAGCTTACTTGGCAGCTTTGTTTGACGATATATATACAGACACACAAACACATATATATATATATATATAGGGCATCCAGGGAGTGATGGTCCTCTTTTTGGCAGTGGAACTTCGCCGCTAAGCCGGGAGCCAGGTCCCAATCGCAGCGTTCAGCCCTCAACGCCAGAATGTGGACGCTTTTGCGGAAATGTGCAGAAATGGTGTCGAGTTTCCTTAACTGCACATCTCCACAAACACGTCCAGATACAGGCGTTGAGGTAGCTCAACGCTGCTAGTGGGACTTGGCCGCAGCTGATGGTCCCAGCACCTTACCCAGGAAAAAAGAAAAAAGAAAAAAGAAAAAAACGATTTCAGATAGCTGTTCTTAGCAAACGAGGATAATATTCAAGGCCGTCTCCCCCCCAGCACCACCTCCTTCCCCCCGGGGCGTGGACCCACTAGCAAAGAGGATCCGATCGAATGCCTGAATCTTGACGTGTTTTTGTTTTTTTTATTAATCTGGCCGTGTTTGAGGACAGGTGTATAAAATCGAGATTGAACAGCTTTTCTGCATCTCTGCACAAATCACATCCAGATTCAGGACCTTGATTCTATATCCTCTTTGCTAGTGGGACCGTGCGCTCCCAGACCCCCTACCCCCCCCCC